CATTTTGATCCTCCTACTGGGTCGGTCTGGCGCTGCACAGTGGCGACCAGCAATAACGTGTTTTTATGTGTGTAGATCTTGTATAGTGCGGTCAAGTATTCGGGGCGCAACTTATCCTCAAATTATATTTCTTTAACGTGTGTCCCTGATACTTTTCACATCAGTTTATACATGTATCAATTTGTCTTAACTTAGTCATACTTTTCCACAATAACTGAGGCTAGATTTTGAAACGTTTTCTTAATAAATTTATATAAAATACTAAAAATCTCCATCACAGGAAAAATGGGATTGTTCACAGCACTCCCCGCTTCTCGCACACATTATTGCTCACGCACATATGGCCTACGTCACAGCTCATCAATAACACTTTTTATTTTTAGTGGAAAAACATTTTACAAGAAATTAATTTAAAGTGAACATTTTTGCACTAAAGGCAAAGGTTCTCAAAACATGCGTTCAATTAGTATAGTCGTCATGATCAGGGGGAAAAAAGACGCACTTACTTTCAAAAGCGGTATTGCTCCAGTAGTTAACCTTTTAAAATCGGTAAAAAGCTCCAACTTTTTAAAATTAATACTTATTACAGAATTGTCTAGAATATAGCTAACAGTTGTTAACGAAATTATTGATCTCTCTCTCTCTCTCTCTCTCTCTCTCTCTCTCTCTCTCTCTCTCTCTCTCTCTTCGCTGTCTTGTACCCTTTTTAACTCCCAGTGGAGCATAGGCCATCAACATTTCTCCAGCTTCGAAGCCTGTCCTGTGCGTCTTTTTCTTGCTGTTTCCATGATGTCCCCGCCATTTTCATTTGCCGCTTGTACCGCTTGTCTCCAAGTCATCTTTGGTCTTCCTTTTTCGCTATAAATCATTGGCCAGTTAAGACAACTTAGTACAAGTCATTATGTAAAAGCTGGACAGTCTATGTTTGATAGTTTAGGAAATATTTGACAAGTTGCGCCGCGAATTTTGGACCTCACTATAAGTGTAATATTATGCACTCGGTAAATTTGTCCAAATTTTCTTGGTATGTACCCTCATATGTATATGAATAATATGTAGGCATACCTCCAGTGTAACCCAAATTTTCACGATGAGGATCAATAAAATGGCGTCGATGGTCCAGTGGTTAGGTTCTCAGACTCACAACCGTAAGGTCGTGGGTTCGAATCCCATCTGGGGCCCGACGTTGTTTCCTTGGGAAAGGCGCCTTACACGAATTTTCCTTAATTCATCCAAGTGGGAATGGGTACCCGGCAACAGACAATGAAAGATCTTGTCAGTTTGTTAGTGTTTGAGCGTGTGAAGTCAGCAGCTTGCACTGTATGCTTCCGTTGAAGCCGAGAATGTTTCTGTGTGTTCTAAGGTTTGCTGTAGTAATAACAGTTGTAAAGCGCGTAGAGCACGCTGTAAAGTCTGTATATGAGCTTTGTAAATGCAATTATTATTATTATTAT